CAAAAAACGAAAGGTGGTTTTTGAAGTGTTTTTGATGGAAAACTATTTAAATGTGCCCAGAAGTAAAAACCAATCATAAAAAGTTGAAAACCACTTGGTTAGTTCGGACGCCAAAAACCAACGACGAAAACCGAATGCCGAACGCCGGTTTCTGAAACCCGAACACCGGATGGCTTGATTTTTGGTTTGGGCGAACACCAAGTGTTTTTAATGTTTTAAACATGTTTGAAAAACATTTTTATGATGTGTGAAATGCAATGAAAATAATTTTAGCCTAAAGAGCCAAGGTGTAAAGGTTGGGTCGGTCTTGATCACAATTATGACCGACTCAACAACACTAAGACTACGGTCTTCGTTCTTGGTCTTCTTTTGGGTCTTGTTATCTTGCTTTCTTCTTATAGTTATTTCCCGCCTTGTATATTCAACAACTTGTCTCGTTCACGGCGGTTTGACATTATCAAAACCTGTCATAAAAACGAACACGGCTTTAGTACGAAAACACGATAAACCCGTGTTTCAACAATTTCCCCCTTTTTGATAACGGCAAACAAGACGCGGTTATGCATAGGAGGATTGATTTGAGACTTGAAAAGTGTTCCCCCAGGTGTTCCCCCTTAATAAATGCAATTTTCTTTTCAACAAAGTTTATGTGTTGAATAAGAGTTAGTTTTAGAAAAAGTTCCCCCTCAATCTATGCATAACCTTTATATCTTCCCCCTCTTGACATTAGCAAAAAGAACTTAAAAAATTGTAAAAAAAAATACTCCTTGAACATTGATGTTTGATACTGAACATCGATGTTTGAAAATGTCCTAGAGCATCAATTGTCAATAATGTTGTAAAACGAGCTTCCCCCTTGATGCGGTTCATTGGGTTTCGTGCTTGGAGCATCCACTACAAGTTTGTAGTCTTCAAGCACACCCTTTTGTGCATCTAGTAATACCATTGAGGTACCCAATAGCTTTTGGGTCCTTGGAGGTTAGACAAATAAAAATCATAATCATAATTATAAGAAGTGTCCCTATGTTTAGCAAAACACACAGGAGCTATGTGTCCTATCTTAGAACAATAATGGCATACTACGTTTGGATTATGCATATGCCTAGGTTGAGCCAAAAACTTTCTAGGTGATCTAAAATCATTATTCGTAGAATTATTAACTAAATTCCTAGACTTATTTCTAGGTTGTCTCAAAATATTTCTACCATTTGTAAAAATCCTAGAGTCAATTCTAGGTTGTCTCACCTTGTTACTTTTATTCTTTCTAAAATTAATTTTGTTATACCTAGGATTATTAGTTCTTCTAGGTGGTTTATCATTCTTAACTTCTACCTTAATTTTTTCAATGGTGCTCTTAAGTTCTACATTCTCTACTTTTAAAGACTCACAAGAGGAACAAGTAGAACTTTGGTCAAAGAAAGAATCTTCATTCATTGCCTTAATTTTATTTTTGAGGTCAAAATTATCATTTT